GCATATCGATGGAACGCAGAAAAAGCATTACGCCATCGAAGACGAGAAAGAGTATTTCGGCGAATTGACCGAGGCGTTCTTTGGCACGAACGATTTCTACCCGTTCGTAGTGTCGGAGCTAAAACAGCACGATCCCGAAGGTTACCGCCTGATTGAAATGCTTTGGAACGAATCGTCGAAGAAAGAATCATCGAAGCAAAGTGACGCTGCAGGCAAAGACGCCGGCGAGAAGAACTCCGCAGAGTAGTCGTGATCCGCGGGAGATCAGGTCGGCTTATCGTTGCGGCGAAAGTACCATCGGACGATACGTTGTCCAAAGCGAATAATGGGTGCTCGAAATGCAACGAGCAGGCATCCGAGGGCTGCACCGATGAGAATCAGCCCCAAATCGCGATGAAACAGCACGAGAACGAGTGCCCAAACTGCCAGGGCAATCGACCACCACCAGGGGAAATTCTTCACGTAAAGAGCAGCCAGCAACGTTGCCGCTCCGACAAGGGTGCCAGCGAAAACCGGAAACAGAAACGCACCCATGGCGGCAGCTTGATCGAGGGCAATTCCCACGATAGGAATGACCAACATCAAGCCGAGTAGCGTCAGCCAGCCCCATGCGGCCCAGGAGACCTTTTTCTCGGCCATTGGCTCCCTCCGCGCAGAAGCTGAGACAGGCGGACCCCCCGTGCATATTTCCCTTCGGGAGGCCCAAACTCAAGGCGTCGAAGCTACTGTTTTAGCCGAACTTCATCGTACGCGCTTCACGCACGGCACGTGCTGCGTTATCTGCGAAGTTGTCGATCTGGTTCAAACCTCGCAGCAGCATCGCGTGGCCGTCGATGACGACTTCGTCGATATCGCCGTCATCCAGCGTACGAGCCAGCTGCGAAATACGCCCGGCTTGCTCACGCAGACGCTCGACAACGTTGCTCATTCGGTCGCTGTCGTATGGCTCTTTACGAGGGACACGTTTGTTGGCGTCAGCGGTCGACGTTTTTGCCTTCTTTTTTGCCATAGTTCTTCTTATTAATGCGTAAGGGTGTAAACAAGCGGAGGTTATCAGAGCCTCATCAACTTGTAAAGTATTTAGTACCAATTGATCAAAGCACAGTCAACTTTATATTGGAAAATCTTCTGATATCGCGGAATTTCGTGCCGTGAAGAGGAAACGCGATACATAAAAGCGCAGATTCCTCCGGCAAAGCTCTCAATCGCTATGATCAGAGTAATCGATTCTGTTGATCGAAGATGAACCAATTCCGGCCACGAACTGTTCATAAAACTTCATCGATTCCTCCCATTTAGTGGTCGTAAGCTAGATTTAGTCGCACCCCGGATCGTTTGGGGGGCCTGGCAGAATGGACAGGGAAACGAAACACCATGGCGACTGCGAACCTCAGCAAAAGTTCCATCCGCGTCCCAATGGCCGGGATTGTCGTCTCTTCGGCACCCTCGC